TCAAATGTCTTTGCATAGTCAATAAATCACAAGTATAAACATCTTTCTGGTATTCTCTGCTTTCAGCCAAGATCCATCTGACTTCAGCAATGATATCCCTTGTTTCATATCCTCTTCTGAATCCAGCATGAATCTCTGGCAGCTCCCTGGCAATGTACTGCTGCAACCATTGTTGGATATCTTCAGCAAAACTTTACTTGCATGTGCTATCAATAACAGTGTTCTATAATTTGAGGATTCTGTAGTCACCTTTCTTTGGAATGGGACAAATATGGATTTCTTCCTGTCAATTGGCCAAGCTAATGTCAAAATTTTCTGGAATAGATAAATAGGTGCTTCCAGTGCATCATTAGTTTGTTGAAGCATTTCCCTTGGTACTCCATCAATTCCTTGGCTGATTTTAGGACAGCTTGGACTTCTTTCTTCAGTACCAATGGATCTTGCTCATATGCCACCTCTTGAAATGGTTCACTGTTGACTACTTTTTTTTGGTATAGTGAGTCTGTGTATTCTTCCCATCTCTTTTGAGGCTTCCTGCATCATTCAGTGTTTCTTGTCCATAGAATCTTTCAGTATTGCAACTTAAGGCTTGACTTTTTTTTTCTTGAGTTCTTCCAGTTTAAGATATGCTAAGTATGTTTTTCTACCTCTAGGTATTTACATTATTTCATTATAATATTTTACTTTGTTTTCTTGAGCTGTCCTTTGGAATTTTTACTTCATTTCTTCCATGTGCCTTAGCTACTCTATGATGAAGAGCAAGTTTCAGTCTCTTCTGACATCTATGTTTTTCCCTTGTCTTTTTTGTGATCTTTTACTTTCCTCATGTATGATGTTCTTAATGTCATCCCACAGATCATCCATCATGTGAGGTAGTTAGTTTACTGTGCCAACCTGGCTGATAAACATGTGGGGTTAATTGAAGGGCAGCGGGATAAATGGATCAGTGAGCCTGGCCTTTCTAGCTCTCTTGCTTTCTGATGGTCGGACCAGGGTGCAGCTGCCTTAGCCAGTTCCCTGCTTTAGCTGGCAAGGCTCACTTCCTGCAAGACATCCCTGACGAGAAGCCACATGGACCTACCCCAATGCAACCCTGGGTGCTGGAGCACCCGTGTAGAGACCCCTGCCAGCGCGGAGATGCTTACACATTCACTGACTCGGCTTTCCTCCTGCAGTCGGCATCATTGTGTCTGTTTTATGAGATGGAGGACTCTGTGGATTGGTGTTGGACATATGGGTTAATGTTGGATTGTGGGCTTGGGCAGCACTGGGTTGGGATGTTTTCTTGATGCCCACTTAACCTTTATATGAAACTCTCTCTCATACATGAGTTTCTGTGGATTTGTTTCTCTAAAGTACCCAGACTAACACATCATGTTATCTGTCATTTAGTGTTCAACGTGTCAATTCTGTTCTTGAGATGCTCTCGAAATTTGGGTGTGATACACTCAAGTAGTTGGTCTTGGCAAAATTCTATCATGCAATCTCTGGCTTCATTTCCATCATTAAGACCATAGTTTCTAACTGTTCCTTCTTTGTTTCTAAGTTTGCATTCCAACTGCTGATAATTATCAATGTATTTCGTGTATTTTTGGTCAAATTCAGATTAAAGATGTGGGCAGAATTCCTCAATTCACTAGCTTTATTGGTTGGTGTATAAATTTGCATAGTTGTTATTGATTGAATTTCCTTGAAGGTAGACAGATATAATCCTATCAGATAATATTGTAATTCAAAGTATATCTGGAATTACTTTTTTTTGACAATGAATGCAACACCATTCTTCGATTGTGTCAGACCCAGTAGTAAACCATGATTTTCTGATTTTAAATGGCCAATATTAGAGCCCCCAATAAAATGATTTAAATATAAATAAAATGAAATGGCCAACAGCCATCCATTTCAGCTAATGCCCCAAATGTTGACTTTTGTGTTCCACTTCATTTTTCACAATGTCTAATTTTCCTAGAGTCATACTGCCTCATCAGTAAACGAAGATCTCAAAGGCTTTCTTTGCTCCACATCATTGGGGGGAGTCTACTTTGAGAAGGCAGCTTTCTCAGTCCTATTCTGAGAGGCTTCTGACCAGAATGGCTCATCTTCTGGCACTCTGTCTGACAGTGTTCTGCCTCTTGTCATGAGTGTTGCAGTATCTGACAATGTTTCAATGCTGTCCTTAGGTTTTCAGTGACTAATTCCTCAAAACTGGACAGCCTATTCCTTAGTCTGCAAGTTCTGTTGAATCCTGTTCATTTTAGGTGACCCTGCTGGCATTTGAAATACCAGTGGCATAGCTTCCAGTATCACAGCAACACACAAGCCACCACAGGACTATAAACTATTACACAAAAAGATAGAGGCAGAAAAAACCAGCGCTTCAGAGAGCATCTAAAGGTGTTATGTGTCAGCATCAACTTGGTGGTAATGGGTATTTAAAAACCAATGGATCAAAAGATTATGGTTTACTAGTTAAAGTTATATAGAAAAACAAAGGAAAAACTTCAAACTTAACTAAAATAGAAAGAAGTGTGATAAATTAACAATCATTCACAATGTACAATTAACAGAGATTGCTCAGTGATAAAGCCAAAATAGCAGCAATAAATACAGTAGAGTAATAGTGATAATTACCTAAAGAATAAAAATTGGTTGTTACTTGTAAGAGGGTAGATTAGTATGGATGGCAAGGAGTATTTTCACTTTTTATTTTCTACTCATCTGAATTGTTTAAAATTGGTAAGCAGGTACGTGCACTAAAATTAAAATAGTTTTTAATCCTAAAAAACAATCGGCTGGTAGGCTCAATCTAAAAGTATAGGAAGATCCCAGAAAGTTATAGAAAGCAAGTATAAAAACAAAAGAAGGTTTGAAGTAAAAGGCAAAGTAAAGACTTTAACACTTATTCAGCACTACTAAATACATCAGCATCAATAAAAAAGGTGACTCGGTGATTTAGACAAGAAAAAATGTTTTGTATTTTTCACAATTTCTACATTATAGATTTTAGGAGGCCAAAGACCAATTTAAAAAGTATTCTAATCCAACATAATTTAACAAAGTATCATTAAGGTATTCAGATCCCAGACAATTCCACTTAGACAAATAAATGTTCTTCGATGCTTTTGAGTAATATATGATGGTCTAATACATCAATGTATGTTTTAAAAGAATATTAAAATGAGTCTTAAAATCACTATGGTAATTAATAGCATGATACTGGGGTTATATTTTAGTAAAATTTTATACAGTTATAGAATTTATGCAATTTGTTCAATTTACTTGATAAAACAAAAATGAAGAAAATTGGGAACATTTTCCTACAAAACATTTAAAAGTACATTTCCTTGGCAGCTTATGCAGTACATATGCTTGTCATTTCTTTTGGGGTATATTCTTCTGAACTATTACATAAAACTTTAAAACTTAAACCTTATAAAAATAGTTATTCATTTAGTTTTTAATAATTGGGTTTTGAATTTAAATACGGTGTGCTGATTACCGATGTATATTGCATAGAAATAGTTAAATAACACTTAAAAAAACATCAAAATTTTTACATGGTTGCTACTACACCTTTAAGTTATGTTGGTAACTTAAATTTTATAGTTTTAAAGTTCCACACAATTCACAAGTATAAAAGTTAAAAAAAA